AGAAGAAAAGAGTGATGGGAGCGAGAGACGCTAAGAGAGAAGCCACGCGGAGTGTTTTTACTCCTGAAAGGCGAGCGGGGGTCACTTGTGAAGACTTTGCTGCACCGAGTTCCAACTCTGCGAAATTCACAAAGGGCCTCTCTAACAACAACAAAATACAAGCGGGGCAGAGAAACACACACACAGAGAGAGAAAACATCAAAACCCCTCTTTCTGACTTTCTTTCTGACACTCTTTAGGCCGAGACGCGGCGTGAATCAAAGGCAGAGCTGGTTTGTTCGTTTTCGCGTCCGAGTTTTGTGTTTGTGGAAGGTGCTTTCAGAGCGAGTGCGGCTGCATCGCCGCCCTGTAGCTACTGAAACGCACCGAGGGTCGACGCGTGTGCGTGTGTGTGGGGCGTGTGTGTGCTTGTACGTGCTTGTGTGTACGTGCGTGTGCATGTGTGCGTGCCTGTGTGTGCGTGTGTGTGTTTTGTTTTTTTCCAGCTCAAATGGGTTAACTGTTACTGAGCAAACAGTCGCGATGCCACTGTGGCCCGGCCGTGCCAGCCACAGGGCTCAGCCATCAGGACAAAGTCCAGCTCGTTTTCTTGAAGATAACTATTTCAATAGAATTGTGGCCCATTTGAAGCATAAATAAGTAACTAACAGGCGGGATGAATTCCACCGCTGCATGCGGACGTGTGTACGGCCACTCTGCACGGTGCACCTGTGAATAAAAAGCTCTGTAGCCCATCGGCTTCTTCCAGCTGACGTTATATTTGTCTGCCTTCGTCGAAGTCGCGTCCGTGGAGTATACGCACAATCACTGCAAGATCTAGTACAGGAAACCGTCACGCAAACTCACAAAGATCTCTTTTTAAACGCGCAAACAATCTCACACGCAAACGGACGCAATCGTCTCGTGCTTTCGTGTCGTGCATGCGAGGTAACGCGCGTTCCAAACACAACGGCGGCCCCGGGGGCCACGGCACGGAGAGGCGGAGCGAGGGTCGCCACCAATCCCCCGGCACGAGCTCTTGACCTTGACGTCCGGACGTGAAGTTCACGCGACACGTCGCGCCAGGAGCGATACAAGAATGAGAAGGATGCGACGGGGCGATGAGAGGCGCAGACGTACAAAGTCAAACCACAGCGACTCCCCGCTCAAAGGGGCCTCGATCTGTGCTCAATCTTCTCTTCACAGCTCTGATCGACTCGTGTGGAAATTCCACATTCCCATGGCAGCGGTGATTGTATGCACAGTTCAACTATGAGTACGATACAACGGTCGACTTTGCTGCACTGCCCACCGGTACCCACCGCATCACGCCACGTTCAACCCCGCCACCACTTTGTGAGGTCGGGAATGTCACAAAGACAAAGGTCCCCCGTGAAGAACCGATGAAGGCCGGCACACCACACGAGAGGGTGGGTGGCCAGCACCACGCCCGGCCGCCTCTGTCTCCCGAAGTGGCGATGTTCACACATCGCACCAGGTACTCATTTGAGGCTGAGTTGACCTAGGGAACGCCCAGATAATCGTCACTGGTGTTGGCCGCGAGTGGAAATTGAACTCGAGTCGCCGGGTTCGCTAACCACTGCGCCACCTCTCCCCATACAGATACACACGTGACTCGTGTGTGGGTGCTGAGGGCAATGTTGCATCGGGAAACCGTGAGGGGTCTTCATCCAGCGGTGGATAAATCATGACTACTGATGATGATAGCGCATAGATGCGCGCACTCGAGCAAGTGTTACCCTACACAACGCAGTCAAAACAAAATCCGCCAGTAACTGCCGTTTAAAACCATAACACAAAACGTACACATTATTATTTGTGTATTATTTCACACATTATCATTATAATAGGATATTTCCCCTATTTTCTGGCAACAAAACTGAAACCTTTTTTATAAGGATTCATGTCTGCATTAACCACAATACCTGCAGTCAAAATGCACACCAAGGGACAGCTTTCTTTTGAGCCTCGACCCAATTGGTGCTCATCTGGTCGAGCACCAATTGGGTCGAGGCTCAAAAGAAAGCCGTCCCTTGGTGTGGACCAATCAGTTTCAAGGACAATGCATATATTATCATAGTATGCTTTTTTTTGCATTTTTCTGCAGGTATTGTGGTTAATGCAGACATGAAAGTTTTGTTGCCAGAAAAAAAGGGGAAAAAACATATTATTATATTTTGGTACTGGCAAAGGAGGTCTAATGATGTACATTATCATTATAATTACAAGCCCGGCTCATTGTCCTCACGAATAGCGCCTGTGCTATAATTCTATCGGCATGAGGGTCTCTTCCCTGCTACTTTCTAGGGGCATACTGGGTAAAATTCTCCCCCACATCCCCCCCCCCCCCCCGGTAGGGGTGGGGGGTCGACGTGGCGGGCGCGAGGTCCCCATTGTTCTGGTGCGGGCCTCGGCGCGCGCCCTGTTCCCGGCTCCTCGTCACGCTCCCGTATCCTGCCATTCTCACCGCCGACGCTCGGCCAGCCACAGCTAAAATTGCCACTGGAATTGTTTTTTACAATTCTTTCAGACAAAATAAGTCGCAGATATGTATTCTTAAAATTTTTAAGCAATTCTTTTTTATGGGTGGGGGCCCAAGGGTGGGAGGTAGAAGCGTGTGTAAAAGCAATAACAAAACGTGTATCCGCTTCGTCTGACTTTGTGCTGACTTTTCCAAATGGCTTGAATGAGAAAGGTGAACCCGTGAACTGAGCGTTGGTGCGGTGCGACCCCAATGGATGTGACCTCTCTCTGGCTGTCTGAAGCACGGTGCTCTTCATTGACCCAGCAGAGCCTCGCTAAGACTCTTCCTCAAGGAGGGTCCTGCTGCCACATTGGGACGTTTGGACAATTGGCACTGTCACTGTAACTAACGAGCGCCTGGCTCCCTGAGGCAGCGTCACCCCACCAAGGGACGCGCATCACGACGGCGCCGCACAGATGGTTTCACGGACTCACCGCTTGCCCTGCCGCCATCTACTATGAACCTTGTAGCAAGCGGGTTTTATATGTCTTAAGATATGATGTAACTCTGTACAAACGTCTAACGACCGATTTTCATGAATGTTATATTTGAAACAAGTTTGAGCCCATCATCCTATCGGCTTTCTAGATCCACGGTATTCAGTTGTGACATGTTGTTGGCAAAAGCTCTCGTCCCTCTGAACGACGAGGCCCTATTCCACGCAAAAAGCAATGCTGTAAACACACTTTTTATGCGTTGTTGTTGTGGAGCATTTTGGGGTGAACGCGAATATGATCGGAAGTCCGTTTTTACAGATATCACTCGCCACTGACGGTAGCCGTGGTCGGGAACCGAACTCTGGTCGCCGGGTTTCACAGCGCAGCGCGCTAACCATCTCTCACCCAATGTCATTGTTAGTGCCGTGCACTTACATTGCCTACTGCCAGTGATTGAGTCCGCGAAATGAAATCCCATCGGGGCCCATGGGGACACGCGAGATCCAGGAGGGAGGGGGAGGATCAATGCGGGAGATGTGTTGCTCATGTTAAGCAGTTCGCACCAGGGATCTGAAATGTGTTGCGTGTTTGAACAGTTTCGCTAAAATGTCTAGAAATGTGTTTGCACAGCACAGTCAGAGAAGAACACACGACGTCCAGAAATCCTCCAGTCTCTACCCCCCACCCCCCAGCTTACCCCCACAAAAACCCCTCTCACCCACCACCTCCTCCACCACCCTCGCGATACGGACTCACAGAAGCCCACAACATGAAGCGGCGGCTGCGGCAGCTGAGCGCCAGTCTTTCAGACATTTGCTAGGGAATGCTGCTGGAGAAAGTCTGTAAAGAATCTCTTTTAAGTCACTGTCCAATAGAGAGCCCCCCCCCCCGTCTCCACCACATTCACGCGGCGCTTTGTCTCTGCGGGGCTCGAGAAACGCGCGCCCCCTCCGCCCCTCGCCCCTCGCCCCAGTCCCTCCCGCTCAGTGTTACCTGCGAGATTGTTCCTGCGCCTCCCGTCTGTTTGCTCCGGGCTTAGCCGCGCGCAGTGCCACATTCCGTGCCGCGTCACCGAGGAGACGGTGGGAACGGCGATCTGGGAGGCGGTGGCGGTTGCGGTGATGACACCGATGGTAGTGGTGGCGGTGGTAGCATTGGCACTGATGGGGATGACGACGATGACACTGCTGGTGGTGACTGGTGGTAGTGGAGGTGATGACATTGGTGCTGGTGGTGGTGATTGGTGGTAGTGGAGGTTATGATATTGGTGGTGGTGGTAGTGGAGGTGATGACATTGGTGCTGGTGGTGACTGGTGGTAGTGGAGGTTATGACACTGGTGGTGGTGGTGATTGGTGGTAGTGGAGGTGATGACACTGGTGATGGTGGTGGTGATTGGTGGTAGTGGAGGTGATGACATTGGTGGTGGTGATTGGTGGTAGTAGATGGAGGTGATGACATTGGTGGTGGTGGTGACTGGTGATAGTGGAGGTTATTACACTGGTGATGGTGGTGATTGGTGGTAGTGGAGGTGATGACATTGGTGGTGGTGGTGGTGGTGGTGGAGGTGATGACATTGGTGGTGGTGGTGGTGACTGGTGGTAGTGGAGGTGATGCCATTGGTGGTGGTGGAGATTGGTGGTAGTGGAGGTTATGAGATTGGTGGTGGTGATTGGTGGTAGTGGAGGTGATGACACTTGTGGTGGTGGTGACTGATGGTAGTGGAGGTGATGAGATTGGTAGTGGTGGTGACTGGTGGTAGTGGAGGTGATGACACTTGTGGTGGTGGTGACTGGTGATGGCAATGCGGGTGCTGGTGGAGACTGTGGGTGCAGGTTGTGTAGTAGTTAGTGCACCGCGCTGCGAACCCGGCGACACGAGTTCAAATTCCACTCACGACCAATTACAGTGGTGAATATTTGAACCGGTTCTGGGGCTTCCCTAGGTCGACTCATCTTTAAATGAGTACCTGGTGCGGTGTGCAAACATCAGCACTGGAGAGACAAAGGTTGCCGGGCGTGTTATTGGCCACCCACCCATCGTGTGCCGTTCCGATCGTCATAGGTGCTCGCTAACAGCACTTGCCCCAATAGTCTGTAAAGCTTATAGGGGGAATATTTTTATTTAGTGATGATAGTGGTGGTGATGGTAATGGTTTCATGCTTCTGCTGCTGCTGATCTTACACTCAGGAGACATGCATCAAATCATTATTCTAAAAATATATATTTACGCGAAATATATGCTGCTTCACAGAGGATAGTGATGTCACAGACAGGAAATGAATGTCTCAGACTGAGGCGCGGTAGAACAGACGGACAGGAAAGTGGAGGCAGACGGACACAGGTGGCCCCGTTGCAAGATGATTCCTGTCTGAGTGACGATTGTGTTTATTGTATTGGTCATCTGAGCTTCATAGCTCATCAGATTCCTCCAGGATACATAAAGATTATGATTGTATTAATGTTGCTACTTTCCCCAGGAACGCCTCACTGAGTCTCGTGACTCTTTTTCAGGAGGGTCTTGCCGAGTTTTGCTGCTGTGGGGTCCATCAATCTGTGAACAACTCTACGGGACTCTGTCTTTGTACTGAACACATCACGAAGACATGGACGCGTTTTTGTCTCAAGCCGAACATCGATCCGTGTGAGTGAGAATTGGTGATTATGCAAATTATCTTCAAGGTTAATGGAGCTAACAACTGTAGACAAAAATACAGTTAATTCACATCATTAAAACAAACTAACAAAGAGGAGAAATAAGAGATACGATTGCTGGAAACCGCGATGTCCCTTCCTCTGGACTGCACTGCAAGAGTTTATCCCAGGACACGCACTTAGATCTTCGGCACTGCACATGGCGTGCCACAAATGCCACGGGCAAGTGACCGGAACCTCTGTGTGGTTCTGTGGGATCAGGGAAGTGTGGGCAGCATGCAAAATTCGTGGATCGGGGCGGGAAATGAGGTATGGACCAGGGGAGAGGCATCGGAGAGCGGTTGGCAGTGCAATCAGCATCCACCTCCATCTTCGGGAATCTCCACGTGCGGAGGACGGGGTCGGCGGGAACGGAGACCTGGGATCACCTCCATCTGCAGAAATCTGTAAGTGCAGAAGATGTTGGGTCATCAGGAGTGAAGAATCGGCTCCACCTCCATCTGCAGGTCTCCAAGGACGGGTCAGCAGTGACGGAGATCCATCTTCCTAGAGCCAAACAGGCTCAATCCCGCTTGGCTTACGAGATCCGACGAGTTATTGCGCACTCACGGCGAGAAACTGTGGAGATTTCCGCAGGGCGCGGATGAGAAGGCGCCAGTGACGTTACCCACCTCCTCACAGCTCGGGCTCGCTCCTCCTCCTCTTCTTCCCTTCAGCACTCATCACGCAAAATGAAAAGGCTGTCTTTCTCTCGCTCGCCGTGCTGGCGCTAAGCCCTCCGAGCTGGCGGCCGGCACGGACACGGCCTCATAATGCTGCCCGCTTCTCCCTCTCTCTTCTCTCTCTCACTTCAACCCCCACCCCGCATTTTCTACCACCCCGCTCTCTCTCTCTCTCACACGAACACACAAACAGCGAATCCTGCAAGATGGCAAACAAGTTGAGAGGAGGTCCCTCGACAAAGGAGAGCGGCGCTAATGAGTCTTATTATTTCTCACGTCGAAGCGCCGAGCACAGAAAGAGGGGGCGCCGCGGAGGTTATGGGGCGGGGGTGGGATGAGGGGGGCCCTGCTTGGGCCCTCGTTGTTGTGAGTCACGTTCTGGGGAGCAGGCGGGGGCGCGGGGAGGGGGGCACGGCCCCGTTGGTAGCGGACCGCGGGGCTGGGTCGTCGTCGTACCCACAGAAGCCTCCTCCACCTCCACCAGCCAGCCGGAAGCTCCTCCTGGAGTGGAGAGATGCGAGCGAGTGTGAATGCGTGTGAGCGAGTTTGAACGAGTGTGAGAGGGGGTGACTGAGTGTGAATGAGTGTGAGCGTGTGGAGAGTGGAGGAGCGACGCGGGCTAACGGGGCTTTATTTGTCACTGAATATCTCAGTCTGTGAACGGAAAGTGACAAGTGACGAGTAGCCGCAGTCATAGCGAGAGGTATCCTGGATGTGGTGTGACGGGTGTAGGAACATTTTACGGAGCTCAGTCCGCCCTAGGAGATATCCGCCTGAACTAAACCACGCTCACAATAACGAGCGGAGCGCCGGGCGGCTAAACACAGCAGGTTGGTACAGTGGGGAGCACAGTTGGTGCCTCAGCCAGTCATCTCAGCCAGTCATCTCAGCCAGTCAACCCATATCACCTGGGCCTGTCCCGTGACCTGTCAGCAGCGAGCCTTCACCACTTGACGGATACCCTCAAAGTGCACCTTGACTGGCACACGCGCTGTGGTGATGTCCCCATCACTTAGTGGCTAATGACCGCTGATATATTTGAAGATGTATGTGTGTATATGGGTGTATGTGCGTGACTCTGCCTCAAATGAGTACCTGGTGCGGTGCGTAAAAAAACATCGCCACTCGGGAGACAAAGGCGGCCGGGCGTGGTGCTGGCTACCCACCCCATCGTGTGCCGTTTTGGCCTTCATAGGTGCTCGCTAACATCACTTGCACCAACATTATGTTAAGGCTATGCGGGGGATCTTTGTCTTTGTGTGTGAGTGAGGATATGCTTGTGAAAGTGTTGGTGAAAGTGTGAGTGAGCTTGAGTGAGTTGGTGAATGAGTGAGTGTGAAAGTGTGAGTTTCGGGTGAGAGTGAATGTGTGAGTAGGGGTGAGTGTGAGTGTGTGAGTAGAGGTGAATATGAATGTGTGAGTAGGGGTGAGTATGAGTGTGAGTAGGGGTGAGTGTGAGTGTGTGAGTAGGGGTGAGTGTGAGTGTGTGAGTAGGGGTGAGTGTGAGTGTGTGAGTAGGGGTGAGTGTGAGTGTGTGAGTAGGGGTGAGTGTGAGTGTGTGAGTAGGGGTGAGTGTGAGTGTGTGAGTAGGGGTGAGTGTGAGTGTGTGAGTAGGGGTGAGTGTGAGTGTGTGAGTGTGAGTGTGTGAGTAGGGGTGAATATGAGTGTATGAGTAGGGGTGAGTGTGAGTAGAGGCGAGTGTGTGAGTAGGGGTGAGTGTGTGAGTTGGGTGAGTGTGTGAGTAGGGTGAGTGTGTGAGTAGGGGTGAGTGTGTGAGTTGGGGTGAGTGTGTGAGTAGGGTGAGTGTGTGAGTAGGGGTGAGTGTGTGAGTGGGGATGAGTGTGTGAGTGCGTGCGCTCGGGTTCAGGCTGGTGGTGCCACCCCCCACACCCCCCACACCGCCCCCCCCCCGTCTCACGGGATCTAATTAAGGCGCTAATGGGCGCTGCGGAGCGCGGCTCTTTCTGAGCGGCGCGGGTGTTTGAGGAAGCCTCGGGGCGCTTTGGCGCCGGCGGTGGGAGGGAGGGGGCTCTGCGTAGGGAGAGGGGGCTACGGGGTGGCGGTGGGGGGAGGGGGGCTACGGGGAAACAAGCGCAGGAAAGGAACGGCGCCGCGTGGTGGGTGGAGTGGAGTGAGGCTGGGGGTGCGGTGGTGGTGGGGGTGGTGGTGGTGTTGAAGGTCTTGGGGGTGGTGGTGGTGGGGGTGTTGGGGTACGGATAGAAACATCGGGTCGCACCGGGGGGCGTGAGCCATAGGTGAGAGGCCAGGTGAGGAGAGAGAGGAGGGTGGTAGGATGATGGGTGGTGCAGAGGGGGTGATTGTGGAGCGGTGGTGCAGTGGTTCGCGCACTGCGCTAAGAGCCCTGACCTGTGTGTAACAGCGTGAGAGCGATATCTCAGTCTGCAGTTTCCGGATTCTCCTAGGTCCACTCAACCTTAAACGAGTGCCGGGCGGCGCCTTGCGTGTCCATCGGCAGTGGGCGCTACGCGGCCTTGGCCGCAGCGCTCCCCAGCAGCAGTCGCCAGCCAGCGCGCTCTTTGCGACCCGCACTGTGGACCTTTGAAATTGCTGGCAGAGAGGTGGCTGTAGGTAGCTGTAGGTGGCTGTAGGTGGTCGTGGCGGTGGAGGAGGGTGGGGGTTGGTGGTTATGGGGGATGGAGGGGAGAAGGGGGCCACTCGAGTCGGCGCGGCCACACGAGAAGCGCCGCTCATCAACGCCCGAGGGCGCCGCGCTATTTACAAATACGCGACTTCTTTATCCCTGGGCGCCCATCCTCTCGTGCGTGAGCGGTGCCCGTGAAGTGTCCACTCACCATTGTGGGGGGAGGGGCGGGGCGAAATATGGGGGGGGGGGGGGGCTGACATCACAATTGACAACCCACGCTAAGCCACGAGGAGGAACGCATTTTTATTGTGGACTCTGCAGCACCCTCACTCGCCCCCTCTCTCTATCTCTCGCCTTTCTCTCCACGTAGCGCCCCAGTCTCTACCGAAACCACCACCACCCTTAGACACACACACACAAGCGCGCGCACACTCACACACTGCACACACTCGCACACTACACATACTCACACACTACACACACTCACACACTATACACACTCGCTTCTTATCGCCCCAATTATCTCTCGGGCGTCGGGACTCGGCGGTGCTGACTCGGGACACGTTGCGGGTGCTGCGGCTTGCCATTGTTCGCCCCGGGGTTCTGTTGGCATCGCAGGGCGAGGTGCAATTAGAGAGCGGCGGCAGCAAGCGCCGTCTGTCTACACTCAACACGCGCGCGCTATCGTTATCAGCTACGATCAATCCACTGCTGGATGAATTGTGCACCCTGGATTCAATCGCGATCCTCTACAGAGTGAACGCGCCGGTCGGAGAGACGCGGGCGATGATTTGCCAACGGGTCAGCAGCGTTACGCGATTACTTGATCGATAGTTATGGAAGCTTGCACATACTCTGGAGGATGAGGCTTTGGTTTAAATGCTGCGGTGTCCCTTATCGGGTTTGAAATTTTGTTTTGTGTTGCTCGAATGCCTGCGACTGTTTATCGAAGGGTTCTTGCAAATATTGATTGGACGGATGAAGAAAATGTGACGCGTCGTTCCGAACACCGCCCGTTCCACGCCCGGGACACTCGTTCGCAAGAATGCATCGTGGACTCACAGTGATCGATCCGCTGCTGGATGAAATGGAGACTTGTGATCGCACCGTGAGTGGAAACAGGCCCCAGGCCACGAGTTCCACCAAATCTCGAACATTCACAATTCTGGAAGCGAATGCCGATAGAAGCTGACATTGACGGATTCCGTCCAATCAGTTGGCCGCTAAGCGTGAAAGCAACGCGCACATCTCCAGCGCACGGCCTCAGTCGTGGCCGTTACCGAGAGACATTGCTGCTCATAGAATATTTATTCATACCGGAGGAATCCGATGAGCTATGAAGCTCCTTTTCACAGATGTCCTGAAGGTAATTGGGTAACGGCTCGCTGCTGAACTCGACTCGAATGAGCGGAGTGATTCATCACGAGTCGCCGAAGTTTTGTGGGGAATTTGCCGGCGCTTAAACAAAATCACACAGACGAAGCTCGTAAAAAAGTTAATTTTGTAGTGATAGCGAATCGATAGAATCAGCAGTGGTTCGAATCTATATAATCTATAGGTGTGCGATTATATACACTTTATAGTGGTACAAATTTATACGGGTGCGAATCTATAGAACATATATGGTTGTGAATATGTAGACCTAATTAATCTAGAGAAGTGTGAATATATAACACATGCGGTTGTAAAGCTCCCTTACACATACGCATCTCAAACAATCATACATATCCATAATAAAGGTGTTTGGGTTAGATCGCGTTATTTATAAATGTGTCGTAACCCTCCACCACCCGACACGGCCAAACAGTAAAAAATGTGTCACGTGTACAAAGGATAAATAGTTCACTACTTTAGCCCACCGGTGTGTTGAAGAGTGAATCAACATCATTGAAAATTTGAGTACGACGTCTCGCTGGTAATTACATCCAGCATCATCGGGCAATTCGCCAGAATGGTAAAGCCCTCACTTGCTCCCGGTCTTAAATAGAGCAGCAGGGTGACGTCATCATTTAACTCATTCAGGTGCAGTGATTTGAGGCAGGGGGGGGGGGTATTGTAATTATATAATCGATTGGTAATCAGTCATTGGTTATGATTAGTAATTAGTTGTAGATTAGTAATTAGTTGTAATGTATGTTATTGTAATTATATGCTACGTTATTAATCCGTTAATTAGTATGTGTTTCCACTATAAGGAATTGTAGTATGTATTATTTAATAATACGCTTCCAAGCCGCACTAAGCCTGTAGCTGTCAGAGCGATTAAAGTTATTTCTATTTCTCTCAATTTCAATGGATCATCTAATTAGTCTTTGCCAGTAATAATTAGTTTCACACAACATTTCAACGTTATCAAAATCAATTGAGTGTCCTAACTGACGAATTAGCCCGTGTTTTGCATAAGCAAAACATTACAGTAAGATTTGGCACATTACACAAAATTCAAGACCTAGTATCTTGCACTAAAGACGAATTACCTAAATTATGAACAGAAGGTGTATATCGGATTAACTGTTTATGTGGCAGATGTTATATTGGACAGACGGGACGTAACATCAGCATAAGACTAAAAGAACACCAAATAAATATTAAATTATCTCAAACACAACTGTCGGCAGTGGCAGAACATGCTTGTCAACAATTTAATAAATATGAAATTATGACCGGGAGCAATTGAGGGCTTTACCATTCTGGCGAATTGCCCGATGATGCTGGATGTAATTACCAGCGAAACGTCGTATTCAAATTTTAAATGATGTTGATTCACTCTTCAACACGTCGGTGGGCTAAAGTAGTGAACTATTTGTCCTTTAAAAACGTGACACATGTTTTACTGTTTGGCCGTGTCGTGTGGTGGAGGGTTACGACACATTTATAAATAACGCGATCTAACCCA